CTGGGGATTCGAACCCGCCACCTTAGGTGTACGTGGCTGGCGCCTTAGCCGGTTGAGCTATAGGCGCCGAGCCTAGTTTTTGTATTTTTAGTAGATTTTTAGTAGGTGGGGTCTCACTCTTGCTCAGGCTGGTCTGCAACTCCTAAGCTCAAGCAATCCACCTGCCTGGGCCTCCTAGAGGGCTGAGATTGTAGGTGGGAGCCTCCATGCTGGGCCTGAAGGATTTGATGAAGAATGAAAATGTCGGGCGGGGGTGGTCTGAGGTGGAAAGGCTGTGTGGCAGGAGGCTGCTGGGGTGGTCAGTGCTGACAGAAACCACTTCGGAGCCCAGAGAAAAATGGCAAGTGCAGCCTGAAATGAGGTGACTGTCTCACAGGGCCTTGCATTCCCTCAGCTCTGACCACTGACAAAGTATGACCAGGGAGCATGGGAACCAAGACAGAGCACATGGGAGGAGCAACAGTGACCCCACAGCTGGATGAGCAGGGGCCACCTCCATGGCAGACACACAAGAAAAGGGAAGGGCCAGGTTTGCTACAAGGAGAAACCAAAGTCAAGCCAGCTAGACAGAGCAAGCAAACAGGAGGGCAGGTGGAAGAAAGCTTTTCAATTAATTGCTTCAAAAGCAAAGCAGCCCAGCTCCAAAGGAAGAGCGAGCTGGAAACAGATGCCATTCCTGAAATTTACTGCCTGGCCTCATTGGGACCTTGTCCTCTAAGAACTTCCCTGATCCTGTTCACTCCCTCCCTTGGGAGACAGACTGTGTCCCAGCTTGGCACCTCTCACTGTTTAAAGAACCGAGTTAAGAATCTCCAAACGCCCCTGTTCTTGCCTGCTCAGCCCACCAGGGGGCAGGCCAGCTCCAGGCCTCGGCCCAGCTGGCCCCCACGGGCAGCCACATCTCCTGCAGTCCCCTCCCATCCCCTTGGGCACCGCTGACAACCCATCTCCTCTGTTCCTCTCTCTCTCCTGGCTCAGCCAGATGCACGAAGCCACAGCAGACATACTCCCACCCCATGGTGGGGGAAGCGAAGGCCTACCAGCAGCCTGAGGCGGCGGCAACACCCCTAACAGAGGAACGAATGGACTAAGTCCTAATGTCCCCTGAAAACTGCGGTGATGCTTCCTCAGGACCAGAGGCCACAAGTGCAAATCCAACACACACCAAGAGGCCGAGAAAAAAATGGATTAACAGTCCCCCAAACTGCGTTTTTAGGTGACCGCTCTTCAGACCCTGACAAACACAAAACCCGACACTGAACTCTGAAAAGCAGACACATGTGGTGAGATTTTAAAGGAATTTATACAAAAATAGTTAAAACTACAATGTACTGCCTGAAAACCAGCTCCATCATATACAAACTGGGACACTTGTGTGAGTTTGCTATAATTTGCTTAAGGAATGACAAGCTCAGCCCAAGTTCTTAGAAGAAAACTACATTCTTTTAAAGAAAAGGAAAACACCCTCAAGGGAAAACTTAATTTAAGTCAAAACCACATCCTTCGGTCAGGGAGTCTAATGCGCAGCGCGCCCCACAGGCAGGGCGCCCCCTGGCGGTCGCTCTGGGGCTGGTACACAGGACGCAGGGGCTTTTCCCGGGCTGAGGACCGAACCCGACAGTCCCCAGGCCAGGAACCTGAAAGTAGGGGACAGGGTGAGAACTGAGGCTGGCAGCATCCTTCAGAGTCCCCACAGCCAACTCCTACAGTGACCAACCACAATGGCCAAAGGCAGTGCCCCTTTGCATCCCCCCTTCTCCAAGGGAGTCATTCCTCACCCTCCTGTGACCCCATCCAAACAAGGTGGGCAAGGCCTCTGAGACACACAAACACCGACCTGGCCCTCCCCCAACCCGACCTTGAGAGCGCCTGGAGGGGCCCCAGGCCCGTCTGAACAAGGGAACTCAGCGCCCCCAGGAGGCCAGATAGCGCATCACCCCGCACCTCGGGCCTTGGCAGCGGCCCTCTTCCACAGTGAGCCACGGCCTGTCCTGAGGCTGCAGGGGTGGAGGGGGGAATGTCCGGAACAGAAAGCCCAGAAAGCCCAGAAAGCCGGTGCTGGGACAGGTGAGGCAGCAAGTCCCAGAGGGAAGCGGCTTGAGGAGGCACAGACGGTGAATAAATAGAAGTAGCTTCAACGCGGGGGTCCGGCCCCTGCGGACAGCAGCTCGTGCCAAGTATGTGGTGGGGGCCAGGTGGAAGGCCACCCTGACGCTGACCTGGGCCACCCATGCGGCCGTCCCTCCCACACCCACGCGACTCTTCAGAGCTCGGTGACGTGGACTGTGGGCGAGGGCAGTGGGCCTGGCCGGACACGTCGCAGGTGGCAGCGGCGGCAGAGCAAGTGGCCCGCCAAGGGATAGCAGCGGCGTCCATCCTCCCCGCTCAGCTGCAGCCCGCAGTCCTAGGGAAGAGCACAGCCCCCCACACCACAGTAAGCACGAGGGGCTACAGGAGGACCCGTCAGCCTTCGGGACAGATTGGTAGGGCTTCTCCTGGAGGGGGGATGGGAAGCCAAGTGTTCAACACCCAGAGCTGGCGGTACCCCAGGACTTCATCGGCCTCAAGTCGTTGAAAGGGGGTGGGGCCAACGTGGGGTGGCCATAAAAACATCAAGAATGCAGGGCGGGCGGTGGCTCAGGCCTGCAATCCATGCACTGTGGGAGGCTGAGGTGGGAGGTCTGTTTGAGCTCAGGAGTTCGAGACTTGTCTAAGCTAGAGTGCGCCCCCAACTCATGAAAAATATTGAAAAACCCAGCAGGGCGCCGTGGCAAGCACCTATAATCCCAGCGGCTTCAGAGGCTGAGGCAGCAAGATGCCCACAGCCTGAGTCTGAGGTTGCAATGAACTACCACGCCACTGCACTCTGCTCAGGGCATAGGGTAGAACTCTTGTCTCAACAAAAAAAAGAAAAGTGATGGGTGTTTTTTTTCTTTTGTTTTTTTGAGGCAAAGTTGCACTCTGTTGCCCTTGGTAGAGTGCTGTGACATCATAGCTCACAGCAACTTCAAACTCCTGGGCTCAAGCGATCCTCTTGCCTCAGCCTCCCCAGTAACTGGGACTATAGGCACCTGCCACAACCACCAGCTAGTTTTTCTATTTCTAGTAGAGATGGGGTCTTGCTCTTACCCAGGCTGGTCTGGAACTCCCCAGCTCAGGCGATCCACTCATCTCAACCTCCCAGAAGGCTAGGATTATAAGAATGAGCCACTGCACCTAGCTCTGTCATCACTTTTTGATAATTCTCCACTGTCCTCACTGTCCACACTTCTTAGTTCACAGTCTTTTGTCCCAGTTCCTGCCAACACCCCTTGATAACACACATCACCGTGTGTAGATATTGCCAACTACACGTCTCTGCCATGACAATGGATACTGTCTGATCTGTCACATCTCAGGCCCCATATACTGAATGTTTGAATGAATGACAGAGAAATAGGCTGAGAGAACACATGCCTTAGGGCAGGTGTTCAACCTGTGGGTCATGACCCCTTTCTAACAATGAAAATACATCCTGCATATCAAATATTTACATTATGATTCATAACAGTAGCAAAATAACTGTTATGAAGTAGCAGTGAAAATAATTTTATGGTTAAGAGTCACTACAACATGAGGAACTGTATTAAAGGGTCACGGCATTAGGAGGCATTGAAAAAGTTGAGAACCACTGTCTTAGGGGAATGGAGAGGGCTCCATGGAAGAGGACAGACCATGTGGCATGGAAGAGGAGGTGGACCCACGAACACCTGCAGGGGAGGGGACCTACGTGGGAAGGGAGCTGCCCCAGCCACTGACCTTCTAGAAGAGCCCAGCTCACCTCACAGTGGTAACACTCCACGTGGTAGTCTCTGTCCATGGACACTACACGGATGGTTGTCTCACAGCCCTGGAGGAGGAGACAGGTTCAGCGTGATAAGCGCAGGGACGTGAGAACTGCGTGTGAGAGCACACGCCTGTACCGCAAGCTCTTGTCACAGCTGTGTGGTTTCACAGCACAGGGCCAGGACATATGGATGTGCATGTGCCTCAGACGTCTCCACAGCTGCAGCCAGCAGCATGCACGTGTCCATGTGAGAGTCACATGGGTGGCTAAGGCCCGTGTACATGTGACTCTCACTTCACTGGAGTCAGAAAAGACCACTGCCAGTTCTGCTTCCCCAGGCACAACGGCCAGGACAGAGCCAGCATGTGTGGGAAGACAGACACCCATAGCCAGAGAGGGTTGTGCCACTCGGGGTGGCGCCCGCACAGACCATGTCCCTCTCTCACCTGCTCCCCCAGTCTACCTGTCCTCAGCCTGCAGAGCTGAACAGGCCGGGGAGCAGCCCTCACATCAGTGGAGAATGGAGCAGAGGCAGGAGTGGGGCTGCTGAGCAGCAGAGGCCCCTCCTCCCAGGAGACAGCCGCACCCTGCATGCATGGGCAGAATACACAACCCTCGGCCCTGCAAGGAGCCAAGCAGGAGCACCTGCTCATCCCTCCCCCTGAGGGCAAGACCTGGGGCAGCCCCAGGCAGGACTGGGAAGAGGCCCAGCTGAGCTCCTGACCATCTCCAGGTGAGTGGTTCCTACCTGTGCAGGGAGGATAGGACGGGCACAGGAGGCACATTTTGGTGCAAAAACCCTGGAGAAATAAAGGAAACCAGAAGTGACCAGCTGAGTGACCAGAAGCCAAAGTACACAGGGACAGGTCCACCCATGGTAGCCCACAACATGGTCCAAGCACCAGGCCCTCTTCTCATTGTGTGGACACACTGGGTGGAGGAAGGGACATCTTCAGCCATCACTTCTTGGTAGTGGCCTTTGATCTGGCTCCCCAATTCACCTCCACCCTATCATCTTCTCCAGGACGGCTTCAGGTTCTGTCCTGCCAGCCCTCTCACGCTCGCTATGGGTTTCCTGTCCCCTTAATGTTCCAGGTCTGGGCCAGCTCTTGCTGACAATGCTGTGAGACCTGGCTCCACCTTGCATACCCAGGGGTGTATGCTTAGCACCAATCCTGGGGTGGCAGCAGCACAGGGCCAGAGCCCTGAGCTTGAAGCCACCACAGGGGGAGCAGATGGGCTGCAGAAAGGGTCTACAGAGACCTCAAGCCCCTACCTCAGCCAGAAAAGGCCTGGCCAGGCAGGGGACCACAAGGAGGAGCTGGAGAGAGCAGGTAGTGCCGTGAGGAGATCCCCACTACGCAGAGGAGGGGAAGACACAGGCAAAGGCCAGGAGAGAAGGGGCAAGATCACTCAGGAGAATGGCTCGGGCCAAGACCCACACCAGGCCCCAGCCACTGAGCGTGCAGGAGGAGACCAGAAGTGAAAAGGCCAAGAACAGAAGGCTCGGATAGGCCAGGAACATGGTTCCAAGGGAGGCGAGAGGGGGCAGTGTGTGACACAGAGCCACAGCACCAGCAACTCACGTGTGATAGTCTCTGACACAGTAGATGTTGTTCTCCACGTCCACGGTGAAAGGCACCCCGTCCAGGCACTCGTTGCATACAGAGCACCGGAAGCAGCCTGGGTGGTAGGACTTGCCCAGGGCCTGCAGGATCTGGGGGTAAGAGGCACTGAGGGATCAGCATGGGGGTGGCTCTGCACCCCCCTGCAAAAGGCTTTGGTTCATAGCCCTGGGCTGGTCGGGAACAGATGAGAGTCCTCAGACTCCGCCCACACCCTGGGGGAGGAGGAGCTCCAGGAGGCTGGGGGAGGTTCTTACCATCTCCATGATGAGGTGTCCACATACGCTACACTTGTCAGCTGTTTGCTGGAACCCGGAGTACTGAAAAGAGACACAGGATCCAGGATGTTATGTGACAAAGGGGCATTCACTGGCCAGCCAGCACGTGCCCCCTGGCCTCAGGTCTCCACAAGTCAGAAGGAGGGTCCCCACCTTGCCCCCACCACAGCACCAAGGGCACAGCTCAGACTTACCAGGAAGTCCTCCTGGCAGTACACTTTCTCACCCACGTTGTAGAACGCCTTCCCGCGGAGCCGTCTCCCTACAAGGTCAAGAGTTGAGAGCAGGGTCCCTGGAAGGCTGGAATACGGGGCAGACCCTGCTTCTGTCTCTCTGCACCATCCCCCAAAAGATGACAAGTTGGATTATGGATAAAGTTTTTAAATTTCCCTTTAATGTTATATTATTATGGTTATAATAATAAATATTTCAGAAAAAAATAGAATATTCTATCAACAGAACTACTGCAAAAGATTGTCAAAGGAAATATGTGAAGAAACCGTTTTCAAATGAAAATTAGATATTTTGATTGATAAACACATTCATTTTAAGATTACTTGATTTTTTGGCTCGGCGCCTGTGGCTCAAGCGGCTAAGGTGCTAGCCACGTACACCCAAGGTGGAGGGTTCGAATCCAGCCTGGGCCGCCAATGATGGCTGCAACCAAAAAACAGCTGGGCGTTGTGGCGGGCACCTGAGGTCCCAGCTACTTGGGAGGCGGAGGCAGGAGACTCGCTTGAGCCCAAGAGTTAGAAGTTGCTGTGAGCTGTGATGCCACAGCACTCTACCCAGGGGGATAGCTTGAGGCTCTGTCTCAAAAAAAAAAAAGGAAGAAGATTGATTCTGAAAAATCTGCTCTGAAATCAAGTAATCTTCAGGGGAAACACATTTAGGTGTATGTGGCTGGTGCCTTAGCCGCTTGAGCCACAGGCGCTGAGCCGAATGAATCTTCTTAATCCATGAACTTTCTTTTTTTTGAGACAGAGTCTCACTTTGTCACCTCAGTAGAGTACCATAGCATCATAGGTCACAGCAACCTCAAACTCTTGGGCTCAACAGATCCTCCTGCCTCAGCCTCCTAAGTAGCTGGGACTACAAGCGTCCACCATGACACCAACCTATTTTTTTCTATTTTTAGTAGAGAAATGGTCTTGCTCTTGCTCAGGCTGTTCTGGAACTCCTGAGCTCAGGCAATCCACCCATCTGCTGAAGGATGGCTTAAGGCTAGCCTGAGCAACATAGTGAAACCCCATCTCTACAAAAAAATAAGAAAAATTTGCCAGGTGTGGCATGGCATGCCTGTAGTCCACCTACTCAGGAGGCTGAGGCCGGAGGATCTCTTGAGCCCAGAAGTTGGAGGTTACAGTGATCACACCACTGCACTCCAGCCTGAATGATAGAGCAAGACCCTGTCTCTAATAGAAAGAAAAAAAAAAAATAGGGCAGTGCCTGTGGCTCAGTGGGTAGGGCGCCAGCCCCATATACCAAGGGTGGTGGGTTCGAACCCGGTTCTGGCCAAACTGCAACAAAAAATAGCCAGGCATTGTGCAGGTGCCTGTGGTCCCAGCTACTAAGGAAGCTGAGGCAGGAGAATCACCTAAGCCTGGGAGTTGGAGGTTGCTGTGAGCTGTGTGATGCCACGGCACTCTACCAAGGGCAATAAAGTGAGACTCTGTCTCTACAAAAAAAAAAAAATAGAAAGGAATCCCTATCTAAACAGCTGACAATCTGTCAGAAGGATTCCCATCAGACTTAGGAGAGAGATAATACATTAGAGCCTCTATAGTTGATCACTTCCCTACACTGACCACCTCCTTAAGTTGACCTAATATTCCTAGACTGGACGTGCACCATATATATGTATCAGTACAGTAGGCCTAGATCCTTATGCTGATCCCATGTGTATGTTGACCAGTTTGTCACAGTCCTGTGGGTGGTCAACCTACAGAGGTTCTACTATACTTAACCAGGAAGAAGAGAACACTTCCTCACCTGACGGTGGCTGTGAAACACCCATGCCTAACATCAGGTATAATGGTGAGATACTAAATGTGTTTCCCCTGAAGATTCAACACTATACTAGAGGTTCTAAGCAGAGCAATAAGTAAAAAAAAAAAAAAGACTGGAAAACAAGAGGTAAAATTATCTCTAATCACAGATGACATGATGGTGTTATATAGAAAATCAGAAGCCCAGTACAAAAGGAATCTTCAGTGTAACCTGGTTTCTTGTATCCTTAATGAATCCCCATC